CGCCTGGTCAGAGACTTCATCATTTCTTCACTACCAGACACACTGGACCCACTACAGTTCGCTTACCGTCCAAATCGTTCCACAGACGATGCCATCTCTCATCTCCTCCACACATCACTCACTCACTCACTTGGACACTAGAAGGGGGAATTATGTTAAAATGCTCTTCATAGACTACAGCTCTGCATTTAACACCATAATTCCCTCCACACTCACCACCAAGCTGGAGCATCTGGGACTCAGCTCATCTATGTGTCAGTGGATCTCCAACTTCCTAACTGGCAGACCACAGGCAGTAAGGATGGCGGACATGTCTCAGCCTCCACCACTCTCAGCACTGGAGCCCCCCAGGGGTGTGTCCTGAGCCCCCTGCTGTACTCTTTGTACACATATGACTGTGTGGCCACTACCAGCTCCACCACCATCATCAAGTTTGCTGACGACACCGTTGTGGTGGGCCTGATCTCTGATAACAACGAGACGGCCTACCTGAAGGAGATTAGGAATCTGGAGAACTGGTGCCAGAGGAACAACCTCCTTCTAAACGTCAGTAAGACAAAGGAGCTGATAGTGGACTTCAGCACTAAGCAGGAGAGGAACTACCAGACCCCCGTCATCAACGAGTGCCCAGTGGAGAGAGTGGACAGCTTCAAATACCTCGGAGTTCACATCACGCAGGACCTGTCATGGTCCTGTCACATCAACACCGTAGTGAAAAAGGCCTGTCAGCGTCTCTACCACCTCAGACGCTTGAGAGACTTCCAACTGCCCTCCAAGGTGCTCAGGAACTTTTACTCATGCACCATAGAGAGCATCCTGACGGGAAACATCTTAACCTGGTTCGGGAACAGCACCATGCAGGACAGACGAGCTCTACAGAGGGTTGTGCGATCAGCTGAGCGCACCATCCGCTCCGAGCTCCCTGACTTGCACTCAATCTACAGCAGGCGGTGCTGGACCAAGGCCAGGAAGATCGTGAAGGACCTCAGCCATCCCAACAACAGACTGTTCTCTCTGTTGAGGTCAGGAAAGCGATTCCGCTCCCTGAAGACCAACACAGAGAGACTGAGGAGGAGCTTCTTCCCGCAGGCGATACGGTTTCTCAATCACACCACCACACAGTACTGACCCACACATACAGTTCTTACACACACACTGGACATTCTGGACATTGTTTTCACTTCATCACTTAAATCACTTTAAGCATATCTGCACTGTACAAGACATAATGTGGATTGCACAACACTGGACATTATATTCTTCATTTCCAGTTAATACTTGTACAGCTGCTGTTATTGTGTATATATTTATTTATATTTCTTCATACATTCTTATATAGTTCTATATTGTGTATTTTGTTGTACAGTTATTTCATTTTCAACTTTAATTTATATTTTATTCCTTCCTAGTTAAATTTACCCTTTTTAATTCTTCATATTAATTTCCTATCTTATGATTTTGCCTTTTCCTTTTTTGTTTTCTTTAGGTCACGAGCAGTTGTCCAAGCATTTCACTACATATCGTACTGTGTATGATTGTGTACGTGACAAATAAAATTTGAATTTGAATTTTTAATCAGTGTTTCATGAGAGCAAACAGCAACGGTTGCTTTTTGGTTGATTTTTTTTATGTTTTAGCTTATGTGAAGCACTTTGTGATTTTTATCTTGAAAGGTGCTATATAAATAAAATTTTACTCACTTACTTACTTTTACTTGCTGACGTCACTCAGTTTGGTTTTCATGTGTTTTTAAAAAAAGTTTCCAAACCATTTCTTTACTTTAAAACTAAAAACAAAGACGTAATAACGTGAGCCTGGGAATGTTTGCAAACTGAGTTTGAAAACTCAGTCAGTCAGTCTGCCCCAGGGCAGCTGTGGCCACAGCTGTAGCTTGCGTCCACCAGTGTGTGAATGTGAGAGTGAATGAATAGTGGAATTGTACAGCGCTTTGAGGTTCTCGAAAAGCGCTATATACATGCAATCCATTAAAACATTTTCATGGTTTAGAAGGAAAGGTTTGGAAAAGTCTTTGAATGTTTTGGAAATTTTTTCAGGATAATAAAATACTTTTTTCAAAGTAAACCTCCTTCATACAAAGCCAGCGGACACACAGCGGAGCTCGTACCTGGACCCGAGTCGGGTCTTTGGGGAAGCTGAAGAACCTCTTGGGGGGTGGCTGGAAGGCCCCCCGGGTGTAGTGAGCTACGCGGTTCGGACACCCAGAAACCACACACTTCACCATGCTAACCGCCTCTCCAACTGCATCCGGGATCTGTTTGTTACCGGTAAGACTCACAATCCGGACTTAACCCACGTACACCCGCCGCGTGCCGTTTGTTTATGTCTCGTGTCACCGGAAAAACACGTGCATGACCCGGATGTATAAATGCGGAAGAAGGTAAAGTAAAGAGACACGCCCCCTCTTCCTGCGCAGATTATAAAGCAGAGATTTAGAGTTTAAGACCGACGGAGACAAACTCCCCAGAGGTCTCCGAGCACAGTGTACATGGCTTCAGTGCTGGATCAGTGGGACAAGTAGGTCCAGATCGCAAGAACAAAGTATGTTTCCTTCATAAAGTTAATGAGCCTGAACTTCAGAAGCCTAAATACTGAGGTTAGATTTGGATGTTTGGAGTTTTTACAGGGTGGGGTTGCTAGCCCCACGCCCAACCCTCCTCCTTTATCATCCGGGCTTGGGACCGGCAATGGCAGAGTTATGGAGATCACTAGCTGCCCGATGCGCCGCCCGGCATAGGAGGAACCAAGTGCTAAGATTTGGATGATCCTCCGTGTTTTCTGTGACAGTGAGACTGAAACTCTGGATCAGCCGAATCTTCCTGTGATTTTGGATCAATATTCAGTGCATTCCACAGTGACGGCTTCTGGCCGTGAAAATAGTCTGGAAGTTATGTGACCTAAATATGAACAGTTTTATCTCCTAAAAAAATAAAGTTTCACATGACAGGAATCATAGGAAAGCCTTCAAGGTTAGTTTCTTTAGTTTTACATGAGTCTGAGATGAGCCCTTCTCCAAGGGACAGCTCATAATTGAGTTTGATTTTATTGCTCTATTTGTTTATACTTTAAAAATACATCTATACACACCTGTCAGCATCAGCTATTGTCCCTCTGACAGATCCATTTTAGAAAATGAGACATCTTCAGCATGGAGACCTGTGGTTGATTCCTGGGCCACAGGCAGGAGACGGGGGAGAAGTCAAGGTACAGAGTAGGGAAAAAGAAAAGCCAGAGTCCATCCCACTAATGCTTTATTAATGTCTCACAGGCATAAAAGTGTCCAATATTTTTTAATGGAACTACTTTAAATTAAAACAACAGGCTGTGCATTTTTAAAATTTCACAGTGAGAAAGAATGAAGGGCAGATCACGTAAAATGACAAAAATAAAAATTCAATTTAATTCAGTTCACTTTTATTTATATAGCACCGAATCACAGCAACAGCTGCCCCAAGGTGCTTGATAATGTAAGGCAAAGACCCTACAACAATGCAGATAAAATGCCAACAATTTACGAGCAAGCACTTTGGCGGCAGTGGGAAGGAAATGCTTGCTTTTAACAGGAAGAAACAGGCTCGCAGAGGGGCGGCCATCTGCTGCAGCCAGTTGGGGGTGAGGAGAGAGAATAATGTATAAAAAATAAGGGACACTCTCATCATGGCCGGGGTTTGGCTGCTTCTTTTATGTGTTCAAGGTTAAAAACAATTATGCAAAGTGTATGTGTCCTTGATTATAGCTCCTCCTACAAGTGTCCTCTGTCGTCCTGAAACATTTTACGATTCACAGACTGGAGGACACAGGGACAGTGTCTATAACAGTAAAATTAACATAAAAAAACAATAAAGCACTTTTCAAAATCAGTCATAAATCACATAGAAGTGCATTTATTGCTGCAGGTCTCTAAGTAAAGACAACTCACAGAGTGGGAGTGGACCAACACAAAGGTATCTGCACTTTGATGCTTCCTTTACAAGAGGATACACTAATATACCTTTTGGAAAAGAAAACAAATCCCACAATTCAAAGTGTTAAGTGCTTATTTGGATTTTAACGAATGAATTCGACTTCAGTAATAGAAAAGCTGGATAGCGACAGATGTCACACTGTTACATCTCTGCAGCAAAGAGAAAAAAAATGAGAGTGAATAATATAAACATGATAAATTGGATACATCCTCCCTCTGTGTGATGGTTGCCATTATTGCAATGCTGTGTGGACTGTGTGGCAGCTGAAGGCTCTCACAACAACGGGTAGTGTAGAAACAATGGCAGACTTTAAAAAAGGCTCACATTTCTCTAACGGAAGCAGGTACCTCTAATAAGCATCTGTGCTGATGCACAAAAAAACCTGGTCTCACAGAAATAGATCTCCTAACACTGTTTTAATGTTACAATGTCAGAGCCACGTTAGAGTCAGTTGTGAAGTCTGTAGTAGTGCACACATGAATTATTTCATGTGAGCTAGCAGTATTGAATAATTATGTCTGTCAGTGATGAATCATTGATTTTTGATTTTTAAACTTTTTCAGTCAAAGGTAACTCTGATGCTTAACCCTCACCAAACCAAACAGACACTTAAACAGACATATCACTGATGTCATTGATGTGTCTGTTTAGGTGAAGAATTTGTTGTAGTTCAAGATTCATTCAGCTTTTTTGGTACGTCGTATGTAAGGTCATGGTATGTTGTCATCTATTATTATCTATTGCCTGCCTTTTATTATTGTTTTATTTTAAAATTTGTGTTTTGACTATTAGTTCCTGAAGATTAATACTTTTACAATGACCATCTTCTTTTTGATTGCTAGATGTTAGTAATGGTAAGACTACTTCTAGTAATTTCCTCTTATCTAAGATATGCAGTTAGTGTTGAGCTGGTCTTCCAGCGTCGATACGGAAGATGACAGAGCGCAAGTGGAAACCCAAGTGAACCATCATGCATCATCAACATTATCTGAAGCTGCGGTCATTTCCCACAGACTCTTACACAGAACACAGAGACACTGAGGAGTCATATGACCTAAGTCTAAACCCAGCGTACAAACTTTCAGTGAATGTGGTGCTGAAGGTGTGGAGGTGAATCAGAGTGTCAGAGGAGACTGTATAGAAAGACAGAGTGCCAGCAGGACAGTCCACATACACCCCTACTCTGCTCTTGATGAGGGAGGAGGAGATGGATGTTTCCCGGTTATTGTGCCACACAGAGTAACCACCATCAGAGCAGCTCAGACTCCAGGACTGATCATTCCAGCCAAACCTGCAGTCGGTCCTATCTGCTTTTCTACTGATTCCTCTGTAACTTACTGCTATAAAGACCCCCCCACTCCACTCGACCTCCCAGTAACAGCGACCAGTTAGAGCATTTCTACACAGCAGCTGAGAGCAGGTATCAAATCTGTCTGGATGATCAGGATACGACTGTTCCGCTCCCACTATCACCTTCCTGTTGTTGTTAGCAAGTTTGAGCTTCCTGTTTACTGAGTTTGTGTCCAGTTCAAGTTCAAAGAAATCTGATGGAAGAAGAGAGGAGACATAATAATAACTAACAAAAATATCATTTAAAGATAGGGTTTAAAGACAAACTGACAGGTGGCTTTTTTTCAGCAGTCAAACTTACACTTCCTAACATCAGGTTTCAACCTGTGTGCTCCACCATGCTCCACCCTGGATGAAAGAAGAGTTGGGATGACCATCAGCACCATCATGAACATAAAGAGTGATTTAACAGACATCTGTACCCTGACCTCAGTTTCCATTTTACATTTTTTTGAAACCTGCTTGTGTTGCTTATAACCGTATCATGATAATAATCCAGTGTATTTCACTGGATTATTGACAAAGTTCACAAAAGAATACTCTGCATTATAGATGCATGTTGCACATAATTATGACCATTAACCAATCTATTCAGAAGAAATATATTACACAAAAAATGTGAAAAGTATAAACTTCTTATGTGATGTAGATTCATTCTTCGGAAACCTCTGTGGTTCATCTGTGAAAAGAAATTTTAAGATCTTGTCATATTCCTGTACCTGAGAACATCAAGTCTCCAGTGTGAATCCTTTACTCCAGCCCATAGCTGTTCCACTCCTAAGTGTCCTGGATGATTGTAACTCAGATCCAGCTCTCTCAGGTGAGACGGGTTAGAACTAAGAGCTGAGGCCAGAGAAGCAAACCCTTCGTCTGTTACCAGACAACCTGATAGACTAGAGTTAGTAAAAACAAAATTCAAGCAGAAAGTAAAGAAAAACCTACACTTATTGACCATCTGCACCATTGGATGAACATTAAGATTGATTTAAGACAGTTGTATTCTGACCTCAGAGTTTCCATTTTACAGTGTGGACTTTTTAGTCCAGCGGAAAGCAGCTTGACTCCTAAATCCAGCAGATTGTTGTTGCTCAGGTCCAGATTTCGTAGATGAGAATGATTGGAGCTAATAGCTGAAGCTAAACAACCACAGCCTTCATTTGTGACCTGACAACCTGACAAACTGGATAAATAGAGGTCATGAAGTTAAAAACAAAGAATAAAACAAAACAAAAAAAAAAACAACCCAACAAAAACAACAAAAAACAGATGTTGGCCACCCATTTCAACATTTGGACATTTTCACACGAGCATTAGTTGGCTATATTCTGACCTCAGAGATTCAATTTTACAGTGAGGACTCTCAAGTGCCATCGAAAGCTGCTGTACTCCAAAATCTTTGAGATTGTTGTTGCTTAGCTCAAGCTTTCTCAAATGGGATGAGTTGGAACGAAGAGCTGAGGCCAAAGGAGCGCAACCTTTTTCTGTTACCAGACAACCTGACAGACTGAGATTGAATCATGATTAAATCACACAACATTAAAGAAAAACCTTTAAAATAAGTCAAAATCTAAACATTAATTAATTGTATCCTTACCGGAGTGTTTCTAGTTTGCAGTGAAGACTCTGCAGTCCATCAGATAGCGGCTTCAATCCGGAATCCTTCAGGTTGTTGTTACTTAGGTCCAACTCTCTGAGACCAGAAGGCTGAGAGCTAAAAACTGAAGATAGAGTTTCACAGCTTCTCTCTGAAAGGTTGCATCTGTTGAGCCTGGGGAACAATTGCCAATGAAGACAAAGTGATTTATTTAAGTCATACAAAATAAAAAATATCCAATTTCCTTGACCTATTCACAGATCCACCTACAGAGCTCTGTTGGAAGCTTTGATGACTGGCAGGAGATTTACAAGAGCCTCATCTGAAGCAGAGTATTTCTTCAGATCAAACACTTCAAGTTCTTTTTCAGAAGACAATAAGATGAAGACCAGAGCTGACCACTGAGAAGGAGACAATTTTTCTGTGGGGAGACGTCCTGAACTCAGGGACTTTTGGATCTCCTCCACTAGAGAATGATCATTCAGCTCATTGAGACAGTGGAACAGATTGATGCTTTTCTCTGCAGACAGATTCTCACTGATCTTCTTGATGTATTGGGCTGTTTCCTGATTGGTTTGTGAGCTACTTCCTGTCTGTCTCAGTAGACCCTGTAAAAGAGTCTGATTTGTTTGCAGGGAAAGACCCAGGAGGAAGCGCAGGAGCAAGTCCAGGTGACCTTTTGGACTCTTTAGGGCTTTGTCCACAGCACTCTCATGGAGATGTTTGAGTTTAGATTTGGGTCTTACTTTAGACAGCAGAGATGTTGTTTGTTGTTCTCTCAGCAGGTTGACTCCAGAGTTGATGAAGGTCAGATGGACATGAAGAGCAGCCAGAAACTCCTGAACACTCAGATGGATGAAGCAGAACACCTTGTCCTGGTACAGTCCTCTCTCCTCTTTAAAGATCTGTGTGAACACTCCTGAGTACACTGAGGCTGCCGTGATATTGATGCCACACTCTATCAGGTCTGATTCATAGAAGATCAGGTTTCCTTTCTGCAGCTGATCAAAAGCCATTTTCCCTAGAGACTTGATCATCTTCCGACTCTTTTTATTCCAGTGTGGATCTGTTTCAGCTCCTTCTTCATACTTCACATTATTCACTTTGGCCTGAACCACCAGGAAGTGGATGTACATCTCAGTCAGGGTCTTGGGTAGCTGTCCTCCCTCTCTGGTTTTTAGCACATCCTCAAGAACTGTAGCAGTGATCCAGCAGAAGACTGGGATGTGGCACATGATATGCAGGCTTCGTGATGTCTTGATGTGGGAGATGATCCTGTTTGATTTTTCTTCATCTCTGAATCTCTTCCTAAAGTACTCCTCCTTCTGTGGGTCAGTGAATCCTCTGACCTCTGTCACCATGTCAACACAGTCAGGAGGGATCTGACTGGCTGCTGCTGGTCTTGTGGTTATCCAGATGCGTGCAGAAGGAAGCAGGTTCCTCCTGATGAGGTTTATCAGCAGCACATCCACTGAGGTGGACTCTGTAACATCAGTCAGGGTCTCAGTTTTGTGGAAGTCCAGAGGAAGTCGACACTCATCCAGACCATCAAAGATGAACAAAACCTGGAAGTCTTCAAAGCTGCCGCTATCTTCTTCTTTGGATTCAGGAAAGAAGTGATGAACAAGTTCCACCAAGCTGAACTTTTTCTCTTTCAGCACATTCAGCTCTCTGAAAGTGAATGGAAACATGAACTGGATGTCCTGGTTGGATTTGTCTTCAGCCCAGTCCAAAGTGAACTTCTGTGTTAGGACTGTTTTCCCAATTCCAGCCACTCCACTTGTCAGCACTGTTCTGATTGGCTTATCTTTAACAGGTGAGATTTTAAAGATGTCTTCTTGTCTGATTGTTGTTTCTGGTCTGTCTGATTTCCTGGATGCTGTTTCGATCTGTCTGACCTCATGTTCATTATTAACCTGTGCAGTCCCTCCCTCTGTGATGTAGAGCTCTGTGTAGATCTGATTCAGAAGAGTTGCATTTCCTGCTTTAGCAATTCCCTCAAAAACACACTGGAACCTGTTCTTTAGGTTAGCCTTGACTTGACGCTGGCACTTTGCAGTCTGAATTCCTACAAAATAAAAACAATGACAAGTTAATAAAGCTTAATAAAAGGTCAACTTCTTTTTTTTTAAACACACTCCATTAAATCTATTCTGCCAGAAAACTTCATAGATGTGATGGAGATGTGTAGAATCTATACAAACAGAGTTTGAAATGTCAACTTTTTCTGTTGCTTCTTTTTCTGCTTTCCATTGTGTTAAAATTCTCTTACTGAACTGCAGACGGTCAGCCAACTCTTGCTGCTTCATTCGCTTCAGGAAATCCACTGTAATTCTCAGAAATGACTCGCTGGTACTCTTCCTCTCCTCCTCGTCAGATTCCAACACCTCCTCATTTTCCTTCAGATTCTCTGCATTTTTGGGGTAACCTGGACTCAGAATGTTCTGGATCTTTTTCAGCTCATTCTTCACAAAACTGAAAATGTTTTCCTCCAACATCTGGAACCCAGAAAAAGGTTGTTTAACTTCAGTTGAGACTGACGAGAAATGTACGCCTTTGTAATAATACACTACAGTTAATGTGCCATTCATCCTCCCTCTTCTGCTTATCTGAGTCACAGAGGAGCTGGAGCTGATTCCATGAGGTGAGAGGCAGTGTGCGCCTTGATCCAGGGCTAACTCAGAGAGACAGATAACATTCACACCTATTGGCAATTTAGAATCAAATTAACCTAACCCCAACAACTGCATGTCTTTGAACTGTGGGAGAAAGCCAGAGCACCTAGAGACAAACACAGGGAAAACTTTACACAGAAAGCCGCTGGCCAGATGGTGGAACAGTGCTACCACCACACTGAACTGCTGAAGTTATAATAAAAATAAAATCAAATAAATTATTTATATTTATATACAGGCATAACTAAACAATGTACCCAGTTGTCACGGCATGGGTCTAGGGGTCCAAGGCTCATGTGTTTATTGTGTTCTGCTATCTCTCTCCTGTTACTCAGTCTCTCTGTGTGTGTTTGTGTGTGTGTTATTTACATCCGCGTAAATAACATACACACGTTTTGGTTTGCTGGAGGAATTATTCCTGAGCTGGAGGCAGCCACACCTGCCGTTCGATATCCGTGGCCAGCTGATTACCGTTGTCAGGAGCACTGGCTTTAAGAGGGTGGCTGAGCTCCTGCCGGCGTCAAACACTTTAAGTACAGCCGTTGACTAATGTGTGTTAAAGACCTCGCTATAGTGGATTTTTCTGCTGAGCTGTGTTTTTTTGTGTGCCACCACGAGTTGGGAGCGGAGTGCGTCTATTGTCATGGAGGGAAGTCACGGTTTGGAACTGGGGTTTTGGAACATAATAAAATAAAGTTTAATTACTTTACTTCTAGAAAACAATCTAGACTTCCACTCACCATAAATACGTAGTCCAGATGTGTTTGATGGTGCAGGACCTGCTGGTCAACACTGCAGAACACATTTAACTTTAGTATAAGTACAGTTTGTTTAAGGGGTTCCTTTCTATAATAAATTCTGATGGAAACAAAGTAAATACTTGTATGTGATCCCAAAAGCTTGATTCTGTTCATCTGGATGTTGTGTTTTCAGTGGGAGAAATGTTTCATCACTCATCCAAGTGACTTCTTCAGTCTCAGCTGACTGCAGGTTTCCCCAATCCCACTGAAAACGCTACATCCAGATAATCAAAATCAACTTTTGGGGACTTACTTATCTAAATGTTGGATATGATGTATTCAAGGAGGACGCAAAATGAAATTCTTATATTCTTACCTGTTATCAACAGACTGGGGTCCATCTTGTAAAAATATCTTCCATTCTATAGACCCACAGCTGGGTGCAAGCTGTGCGTCTGGACTTTCCTGAAGGACACTGTTAGAAGTACACAGATTTAACACACTCCACTGAAAAATTCAGCATAAAACATCTACTGAAAAAAAAAGTAGGGCATGTAAGGTAAAAACTTGGTGTGGAGGCAAAAAGTAAAAACATGCAATCAAACCAAAAAAAAACTGGTACCACATGGGTCAAATGATTTCAGTACAAGGAGGCATACTGAAGGAGTCCTTAGGAAGGATCTCCAATGATGCACTGAGCACTCAATCTTCTCCTTTACTCTCTATACTTTTATATGACGCTATTGCATGTCACTATATTTGTTCCAGCTCTTTCTTGTACTTAGTGTTCTTGGAGCTGGTTTTTTCAGTGTGTAAAAAACTTCTGGTTTTATGGACAAAATTTCTTGGTGTAGCCAAGAAGAGGGTTTCCAGACAGATATTACCTTTTTCAGGATTATCTGACCATCATGAACTCTCCTTATGAGGCCATTGCTCTCAAAATGTGTGAATACAAATTATTTTTTTTTGCAACATCATAACGAAACAAAACCAGTGGGCGCAAGAAACTATATCAAACACACATATGCAAATGCACGCACGTACACACACACACACACACACACACACACACACACACACACACACACACACACACACACACACACACACACAGTGAAGCTTACTAGTTTTTAGACAACTGCCAGCTCTGAAATTTGCTGCGTCTGTCTTTCGTCTGTTCGCTCTTCGCGGACTCGCAACTTGATTCAGGTCCAGTTTCTGTTACAGCAGAGTCCAAGCTGCTCTGTGTCTTTTTGCTTAAACACAACACACACACACAGACACACAGACACACACACACAAGTGAATACAGAAGAACAAGAAGACTCAGCACAAAACAAACTGTATCAAACTTTAGGATTATTGAGTTATTTTTTGAAGGAGGAGAATTAGTAACATTGTTAACTTCACCATTGTAATCTCTGCCCCACATTTACTTTGTTCCCATCTCATCACCTAAAGCTTGGGGCTATTGTGCTGCATTGGCTGTGCACAACATGCAAATCACTACTAATCAGTAAAAGAACTTGAAATTTAACAGGCTGTGAGAGAAGAAGTTGATGACATAGAGCTACATTCCAGCTTCCGCTTGTTAACTGATGCTATAAACCACCGAGTTAAAGTGCTTTAAGAGCACAGGTGGAAGACGTGTTATGTTTTTAAGTGATGATGAGCTCCTCTTCTCCTCTTGCCTGGCAGCTACATATTCACATCCTCTGTCTCTACTCTGCACATGTCCAAACTGTCTTTACTCATCTCTAATCTTTCTGAAAATCTGAACTCGGACTTGTCCCTTCTTTATAATAGTTTCTGTCTCCATATCTATTTTTTTTTTTGTGTGTGTCCCGTTTGGATCTTTAGCCATCAGAATTGTTGTCTTAAGGCCAAGAAAGATGCCAAGCGGATTTATTTTACCAAGTGGATCATCATGGCCTTGCCATATTGGTCCATTTGATTGACCTTTATTATAATTATGAATTTATTTTCTTTTCAGTTGCTACAAACTGAAAATAAAATAAAGACATGACTGGGGGATAGGACAGGGAGAAAGAATGAAAAGAAAGAATGAAAGAAAGAGAGGGAGAGAAAGAAAACCAAAGGGGAGAAGAGAAAGTGAGAAGGGGGGGAAGAAAGAGAAAAAAACAAACAAACAAAAAAACAAAACACCTGGGTCACCTGTATGGAGAAAAAAAACAGAAGAGAAAGCAAACAGCAAAGAGCAACATAATAAAAAAAAACAGCACCATCACAATAAACTAGCTAGCAGTAGATATCAGTAGATACTAAATAATAAATGATATTGTGCAGCACGCAAGATAGACAGCGCACAATGTGCTTTGAGGCAGCAGCCAAGAAAGCTGTAGTCTGCGTCTGTGAATACCCGTGTGTACACCTGTGTGCATACCTGTGTGGATCAGCATGCTTGCATTCCAAAGGTTTCTCCATGTAATGATCTGCTAGGGAGTGTGGGGAGCCACAGCCCCGTCCTCCAGGGTATGAAGCAGGTATGGAGGAGATCAAAACTCCAGACATCCAGAGGCCCCCAGAACACAAGAGACCAAGGAAGACCAACAGAGGGGCAGCTGCGCCACTGTCCCAGAAAGAGCTGAGGAGAGTCCCAGATGAGGGCTCACTCAGCAGCCGCGGAGCAGAAGCCAGGGGGAGTTGCAGTGACGCGCCTGTGAGCTCCGCCGGCAGCCAGCTGTGCCTGAGTGACCGAGCCCCAGGCCAGAGGCCGGGGGCACCCCACCTCTGAAGTGGCCCGAGCGAGCCCCAGGCTCCAGGCCCCGATAAGCGGCCGCCAAGGAGTGAGCTGGTGTGTACCCGGACGCCCACCCCCAGACACAAAGAACCACCAACGCACCGACACCTGAGGGAGTCCGCCACTGGCAGGGGAAGTGGTGGTGGGTGGAGATAGGCCTCCAAACCTTGGAGGGCCTGAGATGTCCCCAGAGAGGTGGCGTCTGATACCCAACCTGACATATAGACACAGACATACAGCCACACACAGACACAAACATCCATTCCCACCCTCATGCTCTCATATGCACTTACTCCACACTCAACCAACGTGGAGACAGACATAAAGAGACGCTGTACACACGATCACACTCCCCAAGCGTACTCTACGAACCGGGTCTAGGTACCCTTGTATCTCCCCCTCCTGCAGAGAGTTCCTGGCACAGAGAGTTCCATATCTACTGACATTCCTTTTCTCTCTGGAGCACACCTCCACCACTCCACGCTCTCTGATCCACCCCACTGACCCCACACTGATTGTTATTAACTTTACAAATTATCACTTCTGTAGTTTGTTCTACATCACCTCAGAGATGTCCACTACATTCCTGCTTTATTGAAGTTTATGCAGGTGGATGCTTCTCTAGTGTCCTGGATTGTTGATTACCTGACAGGAAGACCACAATATGTACGTCTCCCACAGTGTGCGTCTGACAAGGTAATCAGCAACATAGGGGCACCCCTTCCTCTGCACCCTCTACACCACAGACTTCAGCCACTGCACAGAGACCTGCCATCTTCAGAAGTTTTCTGATGACTCTGCGGTGGTTGGATGCATCAGCAGGGATGATGAGACAGAGTACCGGGCTGTGGTCGACTCCTTTGTCACGTGGTGTGAGCAGAATCCTCTGCAGCTCAACGTGGCAAAGACCAAGGAATTGATCGTGGACTTTAGGAAGACCAGGAAATACTTGACCCCTGTTTCAATCCAGGGGGTCAGAGTTGACATTGTGGAGGACTATAAATACCTTGAAGTACATATCGACAATAAACTGGACTGGGCTACAAACACCACAGCACTTTACAGAAAGGGCCAGAGTCGTCTCTATTTCTTGAGGTGACTGAGGTCCTTCAACATCTGCCAGAAAATGCTCAGGATTTTCTACGAGTCTGTGGTGGCCAGTGCGATCCTCTATGCTGTTGCATGCTGGGGGAGCAGGCTGAGGGTCGCAGATGCCAACAGACTCGATAAACTGATTCGTAAGGCCAGTAATGATGTGGGGATGGAGCTGGACTCCCTCAAGGTGGTGTCGGAGATAAAGACAATGTTGGATAACACCTCCTACCCACTCCATGACATGCTGGTCAGTCACAGGAGCTCGTTCAGTGAGAGACTGAGATTACCGAAAAGCACCACTGAATGACACAGGAAATCATTGCTGCCTTTGGCCATCTCCCTGTACAACACATCCACTTAACACACTGTTTACTGCAACAGCTACACCCTTCTTGCACATGTTCTTTTTCAGCTATTTATTAATAAGTGACTTTTATGTATATATATACCTGTATATATTGTGCTATTCTTAGTTAGAGTATTGTCTGTCTTTGTTAATGTTTGTTTATAATGGAGCACTGTAATAAAAAATAATTTCCCCTAGGGATCAATAAAGTATTCTGATTCTGATTATTAAATCTCATCACTGTGTCCTCTTGAGTCTGCATTTGGGTCCACCCCCAAACATCCGCCCCTAGGCCCCCTCAACACTGACCTTGTTGTTTTTGTAAAGTGCGCCGAGATTAACCTTGATTTGTATGAAGTGAACTTTAACCCTTTCTTGCATGAATTATGACAACCTCAACCAGGATTTTTTTCTTAAGTATTTTCATCCATCTTTAAACATGAAGATTTTTGAACTTCTTTTTTTTTTTAAACATGTACTTTTCAAAGAGTTATTTTTTTTTTAACCCATAACAAGGGTTAAGGCCGCAGGAGTAGAAGAGTAATTGGTTCACAGGGAACTGAGACATGTAATTTTGACATGTTTAGCTCTAAAATTTGCAGCAGCAATTTAACTCAGACTCAGTAACTTTAAAGCAAAGTGGTTAGCAGTGCAAAGAGTGGAGCTGTGCTTTATTTAACTCATTGGGTTTATATGGGACATGTTATCATTTTACACACATCGCTCTGGTCATAACATGCTAACTTCTGAATAATAACTGATTAATTATTTCTGTATAATAAACAGACTTACTGTTTTTTAAATAAGGGCTTCTTTTTCAGTCTGATATGATGTTTGCTGCTCGCTGACATGGGTTCAGGTTCAGATCCAGCAGAGTATGATTTGTACCACAGCTTTTTTCTTCTACATAAAACACACACACAGATTTGAGTGATGACATCACTGCCTCATCGGTCAGACATGAGCATCTCTGATCAGTTTGGACTCACAGAGGTTACAGCAGTGTAATGTGGAGACAAAGGCTGTATCCCAATTCAGGGTCTGCAGCCTGAAAGGCCGCATTTTAAGGCCGATTACGTCACAGCGACGTGACGAAGGCTGTCCCAATTCGAAGGCTGCTCGAAATGCGGCCCTGAAATGCGTCCTTCATTTCCCTGAATTTTAAGGACGTGGCGGTGTAGACTTCTTGGCCCAACATATCCCAGAATGCATAGCGCGGCGGTGGGTGTGGATAATTTTGCCGAAAAAAAAACGCGGATGAGGGGCGGCCGAAGAGTAAACTTTAAGTAAGTACTGAATATTATGTCACTTATTTATGTGCAAATGTTTAATAACAAAGAACATTAAACATTACTGTTGGCCACATGTCGGCAAAGTTATGTGACATTAGTGACATTTGTACTAACTTGGTTTTAAAGCCTTTACTTTAAAATATATGCCATTCAATAGCTGACCTTAATCTTACAGAGAATGATCAAAGCTCATGTAGAAACAAACAAACAAATGAACAAAAGATTTTCTCTTTCATTTCTGTCAAACAAAGCTGTATGAAACGTTTCCAGCTGTTAGTATCATGGTTGCTAGGCAACCTGGGCAGCGCAACGGAGGCTAGACTGTCCCATTTCACAAGCCTCGCACTTCTGGCCTTAGCGGTCTTTAAGTACGCGGCCCTTGAGGATCGTTGAGGCTGTGTACTTTAAGGCTGCAGACCCTGAATTGGGATACAGCCATTGAGCAGTAGTGAAAAACAGGAAACCAGTGAGAAGGTTTACTGGGAAACAATCAGGATGTAATTTCTGTGTTCATGTTGCTTTCAGGCCCCTCTTCTGTGGAACCAGCTTCCAGTTTGGATTCAGGAGACAGACACTATCTCTACTTTCTCATAGGAGATTATGATTGTTGGGTCTAGATTACAGTATTAAGGGCCTGAGGTGACTGCTGTAATATCTTTATTCAGAACACTGAAGTTTCACTCTGTCAGTGTAAAATTTGTATCTCTCTGTTTAATCCAACCTCATGTTGGTGTAGTGCCCTGAGTCACTGTCCTCTGAAACATATACATGAAAACAAAAACTTACAGTACCTTTTAGAACTTTTTGAAGACCATTGTTCTTTATAATTAATCGGCTCGTCGAGGGACCTGTCACTCTTTACAGACACAGAGCTGGGTTCATGTTCAGGTCCAGCAGAGTGTGATTTGAACCACAGCTTTGGTCTAACACAAACACAAACAGAGCTTTGAATGTGAATAATGATGGAGCAGTGATGTGAGTGCTGAGCTGTGACATGGAGAAGAGTCCTGATAGTCAGAGACGGTCCTCTCACCTCTGAGCTTTGGTCTGGCTCTCATGTTCCCCACACAGAGTGGCTGCAGAGGGAGGGACTCCCTCCTCTCTTTGCTCACACTGATCCATAGCAAAGCCCACACCTTCACACGGAAACAGCAAACTAATAGTTAACAGTGAAAGAAACATTGGTGAGACAAGCTGAGACAGGCTGGACAATTATGGACAAATGTATTAAACCCTCCAAAATAGGGCTAGCCAGCGTTGGGACCAGGAAGTAGAGTTGCAGTCTTACACGCCTCTCTGCAGCTTCTCTCCTCCTGTTACCCTCCCCAAAACCCATCTCCATAGAGACTGTGTCAGCTCCCAAACAGACAAAAAACAAACATAAAAAACACAAAGAAAGAACAATACAGCATCCACATCTGAACTAAAGAGTAAAACAGTGAAATGTGGATTATTAAACATTAGGTCTCTCTCTTCCAAGTCTCTGTTGGTACATGTCTTAATAATTGATCAATAAATCGATGTCATATGCCATGGGAGTGTCTGGTCGGATGTGGTCCAGGTTCCTGCGGTGGAGTTGGCCAGCTCATCACCTGCTTCCAATTTCCGGGCCTCCATCTGGAGGGTTTTTAAGCCAGCGTTTCCTGCCACTCCTTGCCAATTCATCCTGCTACCACTAGTGGTAAACTTGGCCTGCGCTGTGTTTGGACTCCGTTTGCCTGGATTGTGGGTTGATCCTGTGTTCTCCAGATGCATCACCCGTCGTGCTCATCAGCAGCGCTGGTTCTGTTTCCACTCCGTTCTCCAGTCTGCCTAGAACCCTAGGACTCACCATCTCCTCGGCCTGCCCTCCAGCCCGTACTTCAACGGTGAATTCCTCTCCCCTGGACACCCTGGAACCTGGACCAGCTTCCCCGCATTCTCAGCCATCCCTGGGACGCTCCCACGGCAACCCCTCCTCTGCCTAATAGCCGGTGTTTTCAAGTAAGCACAAGACTCTCCACTAGTACCACTCTAATTGTTGTCCAGATCAGTAAAACCTCGTGTTCTCCTTGTGTTCCACGTCCGTTTCTCCATCCTCTGGTCTCCCTCAGTTCCTGCGTATAGTTTCTGTTAGAATCAGCCTTGTTTAAGTACTTTTTTCCTACAAATAAATTGTACATAGTTCGAGCAATTGAGTCTGCTCTTGAGTCCACAGCATCCTTGTTTGAGACAATCAATTTACTTTACCTTACAGAAACCTGGTTGCAGCAGGATGATTATGTTAGTTTAAATGAATCAACACCCCAGAGTCATTCTAACTACCAGAAACCTCGAGGGGGCGGCCTGTGCTTTACCTCGCCATGTATGACACTGGATAAGGCCTCAAATCAGATGTGCTTGACTCCCTGTTTCAAGGTACTGGGTGTTCATAGCTCATAGTTACAGTTCAAGTCAGAGTCTTAGTTTGTCTTAGTCTTTAGTTGTTTCCCAGTTTAGGCTCTTTGTTTAGGTCATTGCCTTAGTTTATTTTTGGCTATTTTTGCTTTAATGTTTACCGGCCCTAATAAAGGCTGGCTTTGAGTTTAGTAAAAGTTTTGCCTCCTTCGTCTGTGTCCGCACCTGGGTCCTCCAAACACCCTCCACATGGTCTGCCCCCGCTGACTGTGACATTCTGGTATAATTCTTAAACACGTAACCTAAAGCAGATAACTCGTAAGCTGGAGAGGAAATGGCGTGTCACACATTTAGAAGAGCATCATTTATCCTGGAGAAATAGTTTGCTGCTTTATAAGAAAGCCCTCCGTAAAGCTTACTATTCGTCACTGATTGAAGAAAATAAGAACAACCCCAGGTTTCTCTTCAGCACTGTAGCCAGGCTGACAAAAAAGTCAGAGCACTGTTGAGCCTATTCCTTTTCCTTTAACATTAACTAGTAATTCTTGAACTTTTTCACAAATAAAATTTTAATCATTAGAGAAAAAATTACCTATAATCATCTCACAGATGTAATATTATCTACAGCTACTTTTAGTACCATTGATATTCATTTAGGCTCTTTTTGTCCAACTGATCTTTCTGAGTTAACTTCAATAATTACTTCCTCCAAACCATCAACGTGTCTTTTAGATCCCATTCCTACAAAACTGCTCAAAGAAGTCCTGCCATTAATTAATTCTTCGATCTTAAATATGATCAACCTATCTCTAATAATCGGCTATGTACCACAGGCCTTCAAGCTGGCTGTAGGTAAACCTTTACTCAAAAAGCCATCTCTAGACCCAGCAGTCTTAGCTAATTATAGGCCAATCTCCAACCTTCCTTTCATATCAAAAATCCTTGAAAGAGTAGTTGTCAAACAGCTAACAGATCATCTGCAGAGGGATTGATTGATTGATTGATTGATTGAATCTTTATTTTGAACATGTTGAAAAAGTATAAAAAAAATAGAATTAAAAGAGACAAATGAACAAAGCAAACAAAAGGAAAACGAGCAACCACAACTCCAAATAACGTCCATGTTCAAAAAGGAGCAGGAAGAAGCATAAGCTTATTTAATCCCACCCCTTTTCCACTATCTAGTATCAATAGACTACAGAAATACCTCCTTGCAATTACATTATATGTTATGTGTAATTTTTTAAAAAAAAAATATATACACATATATGTTTCTATCTATCCATACATACGTATATACACACATACGCACATATACACATTTTCAATAACCCCATTAACACCTCAAGGATACACAGCCTACAATTATTTATATATATATATATATATATATATATATATATATATATATATATATATATATATATATATATACCCATACCAACAAACCCGTGCATGCGCACACACATGAAAATATTAGACAAGAACACCCTATCAAATCTCTACCTTTTCCCTGTACCCTGTAAAAACCATATCCTTAAACCACTTTTTAAACTGTGCCATGCTTGGACATTGCTTCATATCTTTACTTAGTCTGTTCCACAGCTTCACTCCACACACAGAGATGCAAAAACTTTTTAATGTTGTACGGATACGAGGATGTTTTAAATTTAATTCCCCCCTCAAATTGTATCCCCGTTCCCTTTTAGAAAACATTTTTAGAATATTGTCAGGAAGCAGGTTATTTATTGCTTTATATATAATTTGTGCTGTGAGAAAATGAACCAGATCTGTGAATTTTAGAATTTTTGATTTTAAGAATAGTGGATTTGTATGATCTCTGTAACCAGTTTTATGGATTATCCTTATGGCCCTTTTTTGCAATATAAAGATTGATGATAGCGAACATTTGTAAGTATTGCCCCAAACCTCTGCACAGTAATTCAAATACAGTGCAATCAGGGAACAATAGAGAATGTGGAGTGATTTGTGGTCCAGAATGTGTTTTACTTTACTCAAGATTGAGACACTTCTTGAAATTTTGTTATGTATATGATTTATATGAGACTTCCAGTTTAATTTATCATCTATAATCACACCAAGAAACTTATGTTCAAGTACTCTTTCAATTTCCACACCATCTACATGAATCTGCACTTGTGCATTTCTAAGGGAATTCCCAAATAAGATAATTTTAGTTTTACTTAGATTTAGCGATAGTTTGTTCTTGTTAAACCATTTTTTAATTTTGCACATTTCTGAAGTAATTGTATCCAGCAGCTCCTTTAGATTCCCCCCAGAACAAAAAATATTTGTGTCATCTGCAAATAATACTAATTTTAATATATCACATGCCTTACAAATATCATTTATATAAATAATAAATAATTTTGGACCCAGTACAGAGCCTTGTGGAACACCACAAGCAATGTCCAAGCATGATGAGGAATGGACACCCATTTGGTTTATTTGAAGAGTTTCAGTCAGGTTTCAGAGCTCATCACAGCAGAGAAACAGCTTTAGTGAAGGTTACAAATGATCTTCTTATGGCCTCTGACAGTGGACTCATCTCTGTGCTTGTCCTGCTAGACCTTAGTGCAGCATTCGATACTGTCGACCATAATATCCTATTAGAGCGATTAGAACATGCTGTAGGTATTACAGGTACTGTACTGCAGTGGTTTGTGTCATATCTATCTAATAGACTCCAATTTGTGCATGTAAATGGAGAGTCCTCTTCACATGCTGAGATTAATTATGGAGTTCCACAGGGTTCAGTGCTAGGACCAATTCTGTTTACATTATATGTGCTTCCCTTAGGCAGTATCATCAGAAGACATAGCATACATTTACACTGCTATGCAGATGACACCCAGCTCTATTTGTCCATGAAGCCAGATAACACACCAATTAGTCAAACTGAAGGAATGTCTTAAAGACATAAAGACCTGGATGGCCACTAACTTTCTGCTTCTTACTTCAGATAAAACTGAGGTTATTGTACTGTGCCCTGAAAATCTTTGAAATATGGTATCTAATGACCTTGTAGTACCATATCACCCCATTAGAGCACTTCATTCTCACACTGCAGGCTTACCTGTTGTTCCTAGAGTATTTAAAAGTAGAATGGGAGGCAGAGCCTTCAGTTTTCAGGCCCCTCTTCTGTGGAACCAGCTTCCAGTTTGGATCCGGGAGACAGGCACTATCTCTACTCTTAAGATTAGGCTTTAAACTTTCTTTTTTTGCTAAAGCATATAGTTAGGGCTGAATCTTCCCTTAGTTATGCTGCAATAGGCATTTTTACTGTGTAACTGGAGAAAGCGTCTTAGATTACTGTTTTCTCTCTAATAGAAACTGAGACTGTTGTTGAAAATCTATATGTTGGAACTTCAAAGTCCAAAAACTTCATAACCTGTATAAACTGTGGCAAAATCCACTCAGTATGTGTGACACCTAATAGGATATTATGGATCAAATGCATACAGCTAGTGAATCATTATGTAATAATAATATTAATAATAACTTTTTATTATATTTTTACTATGATGTAACTAGTATATTATTTCACTTTGGTGTCCCAGAGCTTCAGGCGTCCACCCAGGGTGACTGATTTAAAAATGTCTCTTTATGCTGAGCTTAGACCGTAGACTGTTTAATCCACACCTTGTGAATTAAAATTGAACCTCAGCCAAGCTTATGTGGGCCGTTCAACCACTTCACACATTCTCTACATTTTTCCCTGCAGACTCAGGTTCAGATTACAATCAAACTGTAATTCACATTACCTGCTAATCACAACAAGAACACATGAAAATCACTGGAAAGTCATTGTTCTTTACCTCAGAGAGAAGACCTTTACAACATTTATACCCTAAAGCAGCAAACAGCCAATCAGCATGAAGAGACATCTCTCCTGTACAGCCGGTGATCCAGCTCACTGTGATCAGACTGATCCTGTTCGCACATTTACAGATTTCTCAGGTGGGATTCTTACCCGCTGATTTCACTTCACATCATCTTCCAGACACTTCCCAGCTTTCTGCGTGGAGGAACCATCTGGAGAGAAGTAGCTGCTCATTCAGCCCGTTTGTTAGTCCTGGTGTCTGTGAGCATCTGATCTGATGACACTGACGTGTTATCGTAAGTTAACTTTAGAGTGACGTCAAAACCAGTTTAACCTGTAGAAACTGAGCAGCTAAGTGTAACCCTGGTAAGATTCACAGCAATCAGAAGTACAGGGTTCTTTAAATGCATCATAGTTTCCCATATTGTAGCTCTTGTCTGATAGTTTAATTTCTGATCTTGCCCTGAAGGCATTACCTGCAGCTTGGTGCGCGTGAAGGTGTGGTGCAGAGGAAAAAGGACGGCAAGGAAAAACTCCAGTTAAAAGGGAAAAAGAGGTTCCATTAACATTTGTGAGAGAGTTTCCGTTAGCGGTGAACCACAGACGGGTACCTACCTCAAAGGAGTCGGAGTGTTTCTTTGAACATTTTGAACCATTCTGAATGTTTTGTTTTTTTTGAGGGACAGTTCCATGTGTGCCGAGTGAAGAG